TACAGTATTGCAGTATTTCAGGATTGGAGTATTACAGGATGGAAGTATTACAGGATTGCAGTATTACAGTATTACAGGATGGCAGGATTGCAGTATTACAAGATTGCAGTATTTCAGGTGTGGCAAAAAGTAACCTCGCCACTGGTTCTTGGAGGGGCCTGTTTGCAAGCCTTCTACCCTGTGACTATGGCCCCTGTGATAAACTCTGGCTAAAGACATTATTTGTGCCTTTTGGACTTGTAGCAGTAACTCTTCGAACTCTCGAAGTTGTTCGAAGCGGCATGTTGAACTCCCGAACGTTCGAAGCAGCACTTTGAACACATGGCAGTGGCCATCTTAAGCCACGAGTACAATGTACGGTGTTTGGTTGTCGAGTGTATGGAACTCAAATCAGACACTCAACGGTGCGAAAACCGCTAAAAAAAACCTACCTTCCACTGATGTTCGGCTATTCGAATGGAAATCGAACAGTGTTTGATGGGAATAAACTCCCGAACGAGAGACATAAACTGAGCCTACACCCAATCCTATACGTTCGGTATTTTATATTCTACTTCGAATCCTTGAAGTAGACTGACCACACAGCCTGATTTCCTGGAAATTCTTTAAGGACAGTAATTTCATCTGCGGTCAGTCAGGAATAAGTGTTCCATAAAATTCCTGAACTCCTGAACTGATCTGGGTGATTTTTGGATATGTTGGTCACCCAGATCAGGGCTATTGGGGGATGTAACATTTGTGGGGATCTTATGTGTACATTTGTGGGGATCTTATGTGTTTTGGAGTACTCTTGGGATTTTTATGTGTTTTATATGTGTTTTTTCTGCCCAGGGATAATTGAGTTAATACAGTATCTAACTCAATTATCTCCCAGGCAGAGGGGAAGGATTGTATGATATGTAGGGGAGTATCATGCCTTGTAACATGATTGTTATTGGTCTGTGACTTTGTAAATCAGTCTACCATCAGGTCCATGTGGGCATAACCCTTGCATGGGGATTGTCGTATAAGGCCAAGTGTTGTCCCATTAAAATGAGTTCTTGCTTACCCTCAACATAGAGCCTCGTCTTATGTGTGGGGGAAACGACTGTATCTAACCTGGGGATTGCTATATCACAATACTCCCGTGGATGATAATATCTAGCTCTTATAAGAGCTGTTCCTGCTATAGAGAGGTCTGCCCACTGGAAACTGGATCCCGTTCTTGGGTTCAGGGTGGGTGAAGGACGGCGAGACCCCAGCCAAGCTGTAACGCTGGAAGTGGGGACGATGGTGTCTGGTGCCGTGCTTGTGGTACTAGGTAAGCACTTGGAAGCAGTGATTGGCAGAGGCACCCGGTCAGGGTGCCAGGCGGTCCGTCACAGGGTGCATTCTACACAAACCAGTTTTCCTCTATTTTATGTGGTTTTCGTACAAAACCCTACGAACGGAGACTGGCTCTTGCCACAATTTTCATGGAACTATTTTGGGCTTACTCCAGAACTTCCCTGCGATGGCGATCCAAAACTACAGAATGGATATGGATGATTTCTGGACATATAGTTCACCTAGATCCAGGCTACCCAGGGATGTGACTTTTGTGGGGTTTCCCTGTATTTTGGGGCTACTTTTGGGGTGTTGCAAAATTGTCAGGAAGACAGCCCCTAGAGGCTGGATTAACCCTGCAATGTAAACATAGCAGTTTCTCTGAAACTACTATGTTTACAGCTGCAGGGTTAACCCCTTAAGACCGGAGGGCGTACTATTACGCCCTATTTTAGGCAGCTCTAAACGCCGCCGGGTGTAATAGTACGCCCTCCGGTCTTTCTTTACTTACCCGGTCGCCGGCGGTCCCACGCCCGCGTCGCAGTTGGGGGGACTCCCAGGGAGCCCCCCCGCAGCACATCTTCTCTCCTGGCAGCCCTCCCGGCCATGTGAGAGTGAGGTCCTTGTGAGGACCTCACAATCACATGGCCGGGATAGCTGGCTGCTGTATTGCCAGCAGGGGGGCTGCCTGTAATTACAGGTAGTCCCCCTACTGGCTGGAAATAAAATAAAGTTAAAGTTAAATAAGTGTAAAAAAGAAACAAATTATATACTTAAATCATATATATATATATTATATATATATATATCTATATGATCTAAGTATATATATACACATACACACACATATACTGTCTAGGTGAATTTTACTATTAATATATATATAATACTGATACTGATTAAATATATATATAATTATTGTTATATATATATATATATTTATATATAATATAAAAAAATATGTAAATACGTTAAAAAATAAAATTAAAAAATAATTTAAAATAAATAATTTAAAAATATATAGATGTATGTTATTTCGTTCTAACTGTATTGTGATATTAATATATATTTATATATTTATATCAAAATACACGTAGAACGAAATAATATATATATCTATATACATAAATATATACGCATATATCACTATATATATACAGGGAGTGCAGAATTATTAGGCAAATTAGTATTTTGACCACATCATCCTCTTTATGCATGTTGTCTTACTCCAAGCTGTATAGGCTCGAAAGCCTACTACCAATTAAGCATATTAGGTGATGTGCATCTCTGTAATGAGAAGGGGTGTGGTCTAATGACATCAACACCCTATATCAGGTGTGCATAATTATTAGGCAACTTCCTTTCCTTTGGCAAAATGGGTCAAAAGAAGGACTTAACAGGCTCAGAAAAGTCAAAAATAGTGAGATATCTTGCAGAGGGATGCAGCACTCTTAAAATTGCAAAGCTTCTGAAGCGTGATCATCGAACAATCAAGCGTTTCATTCAAAATAGTCAACAGGGTCGCAAGAAGCGTGTGGAAAAACCAAGGCGCAAAATAACTGCCCATGAACTGAGAAAAGTCAAGCGTGCAGCTGCCACGATGCCACTTGCCACCAGTTTGGCCATATTTCAGAGCTGCAACATCACTGGAGTGCCCAAAAGCACAAGGTGTGCAATACTCAGAGACATGGCCAAGGTAAGAAAGGCTGAAAGACGACCACCACTGAACAAGACACACAAGCTGAAACGTCAAGACTGGGCCAAGAAATATCTCAAGACTGATTTTTCTAAGGTTTTATGAACTGATGAAATGAGAGTGAGTCTTGATGGGCCAGATGGATGGGCCTGTGGCTGGATTGGTAAAGGGCAGAGAGCTCCAGTCCGACTCAGACGCCAGCAAGGTGGAGGTGGAGTACTGGTTTGGGCTGGTATCATCAAAGATGAACTTGTGGGGCCTTTTCGGGTTGAGGATGGAGTCAAGCTCAACTCCCAGTCCTACTGCCAGTTCCTGGAAGACACCTTCTTCAAGCAGTGGTACAGGAAGAAGTCTGCATCCTTCAAGAAAAACTTGATTTTCATGCAGGACAATGCTCCATCACACGCGTCCAAGTACTCCACAGCGTGGCTGGCAAGAAAGGGTATAAAAGAAGAAAATCTAATGACATGGCCTCCTTGTTCACCTGATCTGAACCCCATTGAGAACCTGTGGTCCATCATCAAATGTGAGATTTACAAGGAGGAAAACAGTACACCTCTCTGAACAGTGTCTGGGAGGCTGTGGTTGCTGCTGCACGCAATGTTGATGGTGAACAGATCAAAACACTGACAGAATCCATGGATGGCAGGCTTTTGAGTGTCCTTGCAAAGAAAGGTGGCTATATTGGTCACTGATTTGTTTTGTTTTGTTTTTGAATGTCAGAAATGTATATTTGTGAATGTTGAGATGTTATATTGGTTTCACTGGTAATAATAAATAATTGAAATGGGTATATATTTGTTTTTTGTTAAGTTGCCTAATAATTATGCGCAGTAATAGTCACCTGCACACAGGGGCGGACTGACCACTCGGGCACTTCGGTCATGGACCGAGGGCCCGAGGCAGTCAGGGGCCCTGCCGCACAGCCATGCTCCAGCTGGAGAGATCAGAGATCTCTCCAGCTGGAACGGCAAAATAATAAAATAAAACTTTTTAATTGATAGGTTGTGGGGCCCCTGATGCAGCGCGGGGCCCCACAACCTACCGTTTTGCTAGTCACCCCCCCCTCACCCCATGGAGACCTGGCAGCTTCAGCCACTCTCTGCCAGGTCTCCTGCTTCCTCTCCCATGCGGCTCTGTGTGATGGGAGAGGCCAGGAAGTGACATCACTTCCTGTTTACTCCTCTCACACAGAGCCGTCGAGGAGAAGGAGCAGCAGCCGGGGAGAGAAGAGGGAGCAGAGATGCAGGTAGGCACCAATCACCCCCTCCCCCCCCTCACTATCACCAGTCACCCCCCTCACTGTCAAGTCACCCCCCCTCACTAGTCACCCCCCTCACTGAACTAGCACCCCACTGTCATAGTACCCCCCCTTGTCTCTATCACTGTATAGCTATCACTAGTCACCTCCCCCCACTGGCACTAGTAACCCCTAGTGTATAGTCAACCCCATTCACTATCCCCCCCCTCACTGTCATGATGGCCCACTGTCACCTCAGTCACCCCCCCACTTCACTAGCATCCCCCCCCTCTGTATAGTGGCCACCCCCCCTCACTGTCACTAGACAGTGCCCCACTGTCCTAGTCACCCCCACTGTCACAGTCAGAGTCTCACGTCACCAGTCACCCCTCACTGTCACAGTGCCCCCGCATGTCACCAGTCACCCCCCCCCCACTGTCACCAGTCACCCCCCCTCACTGTCACCAGTCACCCCCCCTCTCTGTCACTAGTCACCCTCTCCCTCACTCTGTCACTACTCACACCCTCCCTCACTCTGTCACTAGAGTGAGGGGATGACTGGTGACAGAGTGAGTTAGGGGGTGACTAGTGACAGAAGGAGGGATGGAGTAGTGACAGAGGGAGGTGGTGACTAATGACAGTCACCACCTACCTCACTCTGTCACTAGTCACCCCTTCCCTCACTCTGTCACTAGTCACCCCCTCACTCTAGTGACAGTGAGGGAGGGTGTGACTAGTGACAGAGTGAGGGAGGGAAGTGGTGACTAGTTGACAGCGTTAGGGAGGGAAGGGGTGACTAGTGACAGAGTGAGGAAGGGGTTGACTAGTGACAGAGGGAGGGGTGACTAGGGACAGAGGGAGGGAGGTGGTGACTAGTGATTAGTGACAGTCACCACCTCCCTCACTCTGTCACTAGTCACCACCTCCCTCACTGTGTCACCCCCTCCCTCTGTCACTGGTCACCCACTCCCTCCCTCACTCTGTCACTAGTCACCCCTTCCCTCACTCTGTCACCTGTCACCCCTTCCCTCACTCTGTCACCTGTCACCCCCTCACTCTGTCACCCCCTCACTCTGTCACCCCCCTCACTCTGTCACTGCTCACATGCCGCAATTGGCTGTTACTATCTGCCTGGGATGCCGGGCAGATAGTAACAACGGGATTTCAGCGGAAGCGATCTCTGATCGCTCCCGCCGCCCGTTTTCCGTTAGGACGGTTCAGGACCGTCCTCGGTCGGCAACGCAAAAATGCCGAGGACGGTCCTGAACAGTCATGCGTCCTTAAGGGGTTAAGAGGCACACAGGTGAAGATGTTATTTTATTTGGGGGGGAGGGGGGAAACATCTTCGTCTATGTACCCAAAATGTTTTGCACCAGCCCTGAACACCACATCCACATTACTTACAAACACAACCATGTATTCAAATGCTAAAATTATATACAAAAACTAACTCTACACACCTGCTCGTAAGTACTACAATATGTTTACTATCAATAGAAATTAGTGTATATATACCAAAAACATTAAATGTGCTTAAAAAAATTAATTACGCTCTGCTAATTAAAAGGTTTGTGCTGCGATGCAAAATGTGATGTTTTTTTTTTTTTTTGCGGTGGGGAGGGGTCCACGATGTTGGTACACTATGTCAAAGGGTGCTACGGGAAAAATTAATTGAGAACTCCTGGTCTAGAGCACTGTGCAAACTTTATTAGTACCTTTGCACACTTATAGTACTCCGTCTCTCCTGCTGCTATCTGATAATTAGTAGCAGTATTTCTCTGAATACCACACTTTTTCCTACCTTTGCTCTACTTTTGGCATTCCTATGGTTACAGTGTCTGGGTTATATTTATACACCATCCATTAGGAATGTGTTACCAGCACAGAATTAAGTTTACCCACTTGCCTATTTCATCTAGCTGAATTGTAGATATTGCTATTCACTCTAAATTTGAATCTTTATATCTATATTGCTCATATTTGATTTTTATAGTTACATTAGTCGTGTTTTAATGCAAAACATATTCTCTGGGGAAATCCTCATGTGATTTGATCAAATCTGATATGAGATAATATTTGCGTCACCATACTGACCTGTGCCAATTTCTGACAGCATGTAAGTAAGCAGTATACCATTCAGTGCCAAATGCCAAGATGACGAATTAATCCGCACAATAATATGTTTTGAGGATTAAAACTAAAATACCTAAACTAACTTCATAAACTATCTTTATACCTAACGATAATTTTTTTATTTTTTTATTTTGTCTCTCCAGTAACTAACCTAACTAAATGTGCACTGTGAGGAGACCAATCTCGCCACTGTGCATTGGAGGAGCCTGGTTGCCCGCCTGCTGCCTTTAGACTATGGCCCCATGTTGAAACGCTTGATTTTCCCCTGCAGAGACACGAAAGCCAGGTCATTCGGTGCTTGCCCTGTTTGAGCGGTGATACCCCAGATAGCTATGCCATGGAGCCCATTCGTATAATGAAAGACTATGGGAAAGACTTTGGCTCCATGGCAGTTGAACTGTATGTGTGTGATCTGAGCGCCATTCAGTAATAATGTGCGCTCAGATCTGAGCTATCTGGGGATATGTTGAATGTACCTGTTTAATGCAATGGCTGCACAGTTATATAGTTTTATGTTTTTTATTGTCTTTTGCTGCCATGTGTTCAATGGAATTTTGCCTCTGTCCTTGG